GAAATGCTTTCTGATTCCCTTCGTTGCCTTTTTTTTTTTTTTAATTCTAATTTTAGTCTAGTTTTAGATTTCGCGCTGTTTCCAATCCGCCGTTTTTTTAATTAATTCCCTGCATTTGTTAAATAAAACGCAAGAAATTACTTGCGTTTCGTAAAATGCTGTTATAATAAAGCAAGTAAAAACAAAAAATAAAAATTAGTTGACTGGCGTTTGATGCAAACGCAAAAATAAAATTGCAGGTAATGATTCTTCTTTTTGTAGTGTAAGTCTGTCCTAATATCTATTCTATCTTAAGTGTTGCTTTTTATTTTCTTTTCTCAGACATATATTTAAGGATGTGAGTGAGATCATGTCCTTTTTGTCCAAAGGTAGTATGCTGTTTGATGATTGGAAGCGAAAGTGTACGTTGGATTGGCAGTTAAGGAATGAAAGTTGGATGATCCTTCAATAAGCTTTTATTATTTTTGCTATAGAAGAAATGTTTCTTGCTTAATCTAGGCCTTTATTGTTCACTACTTCACTATCTCTACATCTGAAATAAAAAAAGGAAGCTTACAATAAAAAATATAAAGTTTTAGCACAAAAATACCTTTTATCAAGTAAAAAACACTAGAATGTACAAGAAACTTGATTCAAGATTAAAGTAAAGACATTTTATAAAAAATTTACTTTTATATGTACTTATAAAAGCTTTAAGACATTTATAAGATAATCTATAAATAAAGTAAGTAAATTGAAAACAATAAAATTATCTGATCATTACCGATAATTGTACAAACATCATTTTTCCTCAAATTTAATCATCTATTCCATCTTCTTGATAAGAGGCTTCTACCCCTTATTTATTGGTGGGAGGCATTTACACCTAAACTTTTTTACCACTGTATCTCTAAGTTTCTTCAATATGACATGTTGCCTAGGTTTTTTCAGCATAACACGTTTCAATAACTAAACTGCTCTTTTAAATTGCTTAAAATTAAAAAAGATGATTAGTAAATTTGTTTTATAATAATTCAAAATCTCAACACTTTAATTATGGCAATTCAAACTCATATCACTAAGAAAAGATCAAAAAATTAAAAATTAAATTAGGTTTTAGTCTCTATATACAAAAAATAAAAACCATGGATTTTCATATGAAAGCTGGTAAATAAAATTTATAATGAAAGTAGCACTGAGTCTTAACTCCTCGTACCTAACTTACTACACACACAAGAAAAAATCATTTAAAAGGAAATCTGCGTTATGTAAATAAAAAAAAAAACATGAAAACAATTGAGAAGAACCAACCCAGCAAATTGTGAGCAGAAATAGCTAGCAACTCCATACCTGTTATTTTCAGAAAGCAAACCCAGCAAATCATGGGCACAAACCTACCCATCGTGGGATAGTTTCTTGCAGTTTTTTTTATAGCATAAGAACGCAAAAAAGCAATAGCATATTCCATCAAAACGTCTTCAATGCTTGCCGTTTTGGGCCAGCTAAGCCCATTAAGGTTTCCTTGGAAGCACTGTTATTTGTGCGGCACAATATGCTTAAAAATTGTTGTATGTATTTGGATAAGTGTATATTAGTTTTAATTTTAAAAAATAATTAAAATTTTAATTTTGTATTTAAAAATTAAAATTTTATTTTATTAAATATTAATATTTAAATTTAAAATTTTGTTATATATTTTAATATATTAATATTTAATAAAATAATTTTTTAATTTTAAATTTAATTTTAATTAAATAAAATGATATAACTCTAATTATTGTTAACAAAAGAAAAATATATCAACTTTTCCCTTTTCTTTATGTATATATTCGAAAGTATCGGAGACAAATTGGAGGACGCGTTAGCAGTATGAATTTAGCTCGATTTGACACAGGTCACACGACACTATTTCGAGCGCCGGGGGGAGCGAAAGAAAATGCTCGCATCCTCAATAACGATAGGTAAAGTTTACGGACCAAACAGAAGCTCCATATGGCGAATTTCGGTGATTAGAGAACCATCGGAAACTGACCGGCAATGGTGCACAGTGCCTATGATTGCTTCGAGCTCCTCGGCGGCTTCTCTCCCAAAATCGACGCCATCGAATCCTATGGCTCGAAGCTCTTCCTCGGTTGCTCCGACAGGTCTCTACGAATCTATGCTCCAGACTTCTCCGGCGCCGAGCTATCATCATCACCGTCCGATCAACATGTGCTGCGAAAGGAGCAGTATGCTCTGGAGACGACTGTGGTTGGATTCTCGAAGAAACCTAGCGTCTCGAATTATTGTTCAGTTCTGCTACTATACGTGCGGCAGAATTAATGTCTTTGGTTTATCCAAAAAGGTGAAATAATTTCTTCATTTCTTTTTAGTTTATAGATCTCTATCCCAGATCCCTGATGTGAACTATTTTTGCTATTGCTGAGTTGTGCGGTTAGATAGATTTTTAATCATTGCAGAGTATGAATTTATGAAGTGAATTGTAATTTTTCTTTTCTTTAAAAAAAAAAAAATTAGTTCATCCATATCTTTCTATGCGGAGAAACAACTCTATCTTTTCTTACTTCTCTACTTTCTTCTCATCATAGTTTCCACAATAACTTTTTCTAAGATACATCATCATAAATTGCCATTTTGGGGGAAATTCATACTTTATTTCTACTTTCTCCTTGCAAAAGAATGCTCCATTGTAATTAGCTAATTTGTGCATGCTGAAATACATACAAACTATCATTAGTCTCTTTTGATTTCTTCTCTTTTTCATTTTTCACAATTTGGTTTTAACTAATTATGGGTTCTAATCTCTTAAAATTTTACACTACATCTAAGAAGTAAGAGAAGAATATCTATTGGTTTTTTGTATATTAAATTGCTAGATGGTATCTGGAGGTACCAATATTGGGAGATGTTGCTGATGAAGTGATGATGTGGTGAAAGGTTGGTGTTTCGAAATGAGTTAAGGGTGCAACAGGCAAGTAGAAAAGAAAGAAAATGTTTTATTCTCAATTACAACTCATTAAACAATAGCTCAGTGAAATAGTTTCTTCTAAGAATTCAAATAGGTATAAGTATCTTATTGCCTGGTGGTTGCTCCTTTGTCTCATTTCCATCACAAGATTTCGACAGTGGAAATCCACATAATCGAAAGTTTCCTTCATAGGAATCGTTACTAAAGGTGTTGAATTGTTTTCCCCGTGGTATGAATCCGACAAGTCGATTATTTGAAAGATTCTGCACAAAAAGTTCTGTTAAAGATATCTATTCCTCTGGAATTTCATCTACCAGCTTATTGGAAGAGAGATCCAACCATTTAAGACTAGTCAAATTTCCGAGTGACGCTGAGATTCAACAAAGATTCAGCAGATATAAGTTTTAACACTCACTTGATGCCTGACGGGGACAAAAATATCCAAATAAAAGTTAGGGTTTATCAAAAAAAAAAAAAGTAATGCAAGAAATTTTATTAACTAAAATGGTTCAATTTTGACAGAGTACACAACATTCCCTAAATTGTCAACATAAGTCATGATTGTAATCTATAATTGGATCATATTCTTGAATTTTAAACATAACTCATAAAAATTCAAATCAAATCAATCTAGCAAAGGTTTACCTAGGCACTGTCCTTGATTTGGCTAATTGTTCTGAAACGACTTAAAACAAAGCATATATGTTGGCACAGAGGGCAGGGGAATGATAATTGATACACAGTGTTTTATGCTTGCATGCTGAAGAATCCTGCAGTTGTCTTTCCTTCAAATGTGAATGCAGTAAGAAAATAGGGAAGGATATACTTTTGAAGCTATTATAAGTAGAAATCCTTTGAGTTGGTCATTGGAATTGAAGCAAAGGACCTAAAGGTAGAGGAAGGATGGCTTTGACTCTTTAAGGCTTCTTCTCTCACAGCCATGGTTTATTTCATATGGCAGGAAAAATGAGAGTTAAGCAACAATTCTGCACCTAGTTGCAGTTAGTCTCTTAGCTACTTAGTTGAGTTACATTAATGCTTTGTCATTAATTTTCCGTAAACCTGAAAATGCATGGTTGAAAGCCCTGTGGGGAATTTTGGATTAATGAAGTAAGCTTACCATTCTCTTAGAAAAGTGTTTTAGGATTCATCCACTGGTCCAGTTAAATAACCAAACAAGAAAGGAAGTCATAGAATACACAAATCAAAACCAACTTGAAAAAGAGTGATGATGTAAATATTGTGCTAAGCACACAGAATGAAGTCTACTGAGCAGATCATGCTAGAGGACAGGTTCAAATGCAAAATATTAGTTTAAATATAAAACAACATTCAAGAATGCAAAAGCTGCAATTGACAATTAGATCTTTAAAATTGAAGAAACTATGGGAACCATGAAAAGTGAACAAGTTAAGTTTAACAAATTAGAGGAAGAAACTCAAATAGATAAATAGAGAAAACAAGGAGTACAAAATCATTGAACCAGACAAGTGAGGAAGTTGTTGGTTCATTGACATCTTTACACCAAATG